TGAGAAAAGGGCCGGGAGGGGGAGGGGCTGGGGGCGGGCCGGGGAGCTGGAGGGACTGGTGGGTCCTCGAGGTCCCTACGCGGGAGGGTTGGAGGTCTGGGGAGGCAGGGAGCAGGGCTTGGGGCCTCGAGGTGGAGCCCCGGGGGTGGTTGGAGATGGAAAGGGAGGTGGGAGCTCAACCTCACTGCGGGATCTGGGACGGTGGGTGGGACCCTTGACCCCACCGGAAAGGATTGTAGGACGCTGTTCAGGGACTGCGTGTCATTGCGCGGTAGCTGGGGTGCAGGAGGCTCGTGGTGGGCGCAGTGGACAAGTTCACATGGACTTTTGCGGAGTTGAGAGTTGGGAGATAAAGATCTCTGCCCAGTGCATGTTCATTAAGGGCACCTGCCTCACGAGGTTGTTGCAAGAGACTAAATTCGTTAATGTGCAGAAAGGGCTTAGAGATGGTTTGCTCTGAGCACCTGAAGTTGTTGCTCCATCCCAGAATGGACTCACCCTAGGCTAACCTAGAACTCACTGTGTAGCAAAGGCTAGCCTTGAACTACTGAGCCTACTGCCTCAGCCTCCCAAGTGCTGAGATTACAAGTGTTGGTCACCATGCCCAGACTTTTATGTATTTTTAAAATTTTTTATCATTTTTCTTTTATGTGTATGAGTGTATTACTTGCATGTGTGTATACGCACCTATGTCGTGCAGTGCCTGCAGCAGTCAGAAGAGGGTGTCAGATTTCCCTGGAATTGGAATTACAGAAGGTTGTTAGCCACCATGTGTGTGCTGGGAATCGAAAACAGGTCCCCTGCAATAGCAGCCAGTGCTCTTAACTACTGAGCCATCTCTCCAGCCCTTCTATTTATTTTTAAACAGGGTCTCAAGTAGCCCACGCTGGCTTCAATCACATTCCCTGTGTAGCCAAAGCTGACCTTGAACTCCTGATCTTCCAGCTGCCACCCAACAAGTGCTTGGATTAAAGGAGTGTGCCACCACGCCCAGCTGCACCCTCTTTTACATCCCATATTAACACCTGTTCCAGTTCATATTTTAGGTTTGAAAGTGTTTGCTTCACAGTGGCTACCCCTTGCTCTTCCTGTGGAGAGTGGAATAAATAGTAAGTGCTAACTTAAGTACTGAGGCTGTTTCTTTATTGCCAGGTGCTGTTCTGGGTACCTTTATGTGCCTTATATTACTTAATTCCCACTGCAATGCTGGGGCCCAGATTTTTTTGCCTCTGTTTTGTAGCCAAGGAAATGGAGATAATGTTTGTAAAAGGTGCAGTTGTACTTTGTCCAAGGTCAGAAAACTGGTAGGTGGCAGATCTGGAATTTGCTCTGGAGCTCTTGTGCTCTGAGTAAATATTTGGCCGGATGTAGCTGAGGGCACAGAGTCCCCAGCACAGCTTCTTGGTCCTTTGATAAACTTTGAAAAAATGGACACCGAAGGGAACTTAAGTACAGTTGGTAGGCGTTCAGGAGTGAGGGAAGGCCCTGAGCTTCAGGGAGTGAAGTGCAAGGAGAGACAGAAAGCTATCCTTTAAAAATCGTATTTATTTGTATTTTATGCGTATGAGTGTTTGGCCTGCATGTATGTAAATGCATCACGTGTGCAATGCCCTTGGAGGCCAGAGAGAGCGTCCGATCCCCTGGAACTGGAGTCACAGTTTTAGTCGCCATGTGAGTGCTGGGAATCATCATACCTGGATCCTCTGAAAGAGCAGCCAGTGGTCTTAACCTTGAGCCATCTCTCCAACCCCCAAAAGTTACACTTTTAATAGAAGCGAAAAAAAGAAATACAGTCTCTGGGGCGATGGTGAGTGGGTAAAGTGCTGGACTGGGCAACATGAGGACCTGAGTGCAGATCAGCACACACTTAACGTGTGCACAGCGGCACCTCCTGTGGGCTCGCTGGCTGGTCAGGCTAGCTGAAGCAGCAAACTTCTGGTTCGGTGAGTGACACTCTGAACAAATAATGTGGATGAAGACACCTGATCGCAGCCTCAGGCCTCCACAGGCATCTGTATGCGTGAGCAAATACAGAGACATAGACATAGACACACACACACACAGAGATACAGACAGACACACAAACACACTAAAAAAGTTTAGAAGTATAAAAATACAGCTTGGAGAAATAGGAAAAAAAAACTGTATGGAAAGTCTTTGTTTCTTCTAACAGGTGTTATTGACAGGGCACACAGCTAGCTCCCTTCCTCCCAGGGTGGTGTGAGCCTTGAGCAAGAGAGAAACCTTCCATCCTTTGGGGTCAAGCAGGGAAGAAATATTTATCTTTTGTAGTATTTGGTTTAAACTTTTAGTCAGCTAAGAGTTGCTTTGTGTGGCTTAGAACGCAGGATGTCTCTAATATTACATACTGTATTTAATAGTAATGAATGCTTACCGTCATTAACTTTCCTTTCAGCTTTGGACCTGGAAAGAGTAGTTAACTATTTACAATCACCGGGTCTCTTCACCTGTGGGCCACTTTAAGCCCCTGCCACACTTCACCTGTAGCCTTACAGTCAGTTACAAGCAGTCTGCGACCTTTATCACTGACCAAAAGGCCAGCACTGGTTTATTTTTGATCTAGCCCTGGAAGGCCAGTGCCTGAACATGAGCTACAGGCAGCTTGGAGTGTTTCCAACTTAACACTTGAAGTCTGCCTCCCTTTGAATTTTCTATCTCCCTCTCTACCCTAAGAGGCTGAGCTGTAAGATCTGCAGGCTGCTGTCTTGGGGCTTCTGGGGTACAGTACAGGGCTCATTAAAGGACGGTCCTTCCACTGTTTAACTCTCATCGTCAGCTGTGTCTTTTCCCTTTGGCTTTAGGCTGCCCTCCTTACGTAGTAAAACTGGATTTTCTCTTTAGTGCAGGAAGTGGATTTAAAAGAAGTCCCTTCTCACCAGGTCCTAACAGGAGAGACACCTGCTGTGGACTTGTGTAAGGGGAGCTACTGACCACTCTGCCATTTGTCTTAGAGGGAGCTGACATTGACAGTCATGTGTCCTCATGATGCCCAGGAACAGGGACCATGGACTTTCCCTTTCTTTCTGCCTAGGGTCTCCTACTATAGTGGCTCTCTACCAGGGATAGTTGTTTTTGTTTTTCTATCATACAAAAGAGGGCTTTGTTTCAGGAAGTTGATTTGTAGTGTATGACAGCTTTTACTCTCGGATAATAATACCCACAGAACATGTGGAGGTCAGAGGATAACTTGCAGGAATGGGGTCACTCCTACCATGTGGGTTCCAGGGATCAAACTCAGGTCATTGGGTTTGATGGCAAGCACCTTCACCTGCTGAGCCACTTTACTGGCCCGTGGCATGCTCTTATTGTAGGAGTTCTGCTTATGTTGTCAGATACCAGGGCTCTGCCTTTCGGAGTGACGTCATCAGCCACTGAGTCAAGAACAGTAACGTGCTCTAACCCTTTTCTCTAATTGCATTTTTCCAGTGTGCCTTCAGTGGAGACTGTCAGCCGTATTCAGTTAATTTAGCTGTCAGCCAGTCTTTGAGGCATCCTCATCTCTAGTTTCTGTTAACTATGGGCTAATTGCTGCTTTCTTCACGTCTTCATCATTTTTATATCTATATTTTTTAAAATGTTTTGTATTTTTATGTGTGTGTGTAAATGCCTGCGTGCACCACCTACATGCCTGGTGCCCGTGGAGGAAAGAAGAGGGCGTTGGGTCCCCTGGAACTGGAGTTACGGGTGTTTTTGAGCCACCATGTGGGTGCTGGGAATTGACCCAGGTCCTCTACAAGAGCAGCCAGTGCTCTTAACCACTGAGCCATCCCTCCAGTCTCATTTTTTAAAAATTACGTTTTGAGCTGGGGCTACAGGGAGACCCTGTCTCAAAAAGACAAAAAAAAAAAAATACGTTTTGTGTGTGTGTGTGTGTATGTGTGTGTAAGTCCACATGCATGCCACACCAAGCACGTGGAGGTCAGGACAACTTAAGGAGTGAGTTCTCTTCCCCCCACCATACAGGTCCTGGGGAACTCGGGTCCTCAGGCTTAGTTCCCCAGTGAACCATCATGCTATAACTTCTTTTCTGTCTTTTTGTTAATTTTATTTATTTGATGGGTATGAGTGTTTTGCCTGCGTGTATGTGAGTGTGCCTATGTTGTGCAATGCCCACAGAGGCCAGAAGAGGGCTCAGATCCCCTGGAACTGGAATTACAGATGATTGTTTGCCACCATGTGGGTATTGGAAACCAAACCCAGGACCTCTGTAAGAGCAGCCAGTGCTCTTAATTGCCACACCAACCCTCCATCCCTTTCTTTTCTTTCTCCGTTTTTTTTTTTTTTTTTTTTTTTTTTTTAAGAGAGTCTCCCTGTAGCCCCAGCTGGCTTGGGAACTTGCTATGTAGACCAGCCTGGCCTCAATCTCACAGAGCTCCTCCTCTCTCTGCCTCCAGAGTGCTGGGATTAAAGGCATGCACCACCACCACACTCTGCCTGTTCATCTTTCTAACCATACTCTTCAGCTGCCCAGACTTAACCCCCTCCCCCACATACACCAGGGGTAGTTTTGTTCCCCAGTGAACAACTGGCAATGTCTGGAGACATTTTGGGTCATGACATCTATGAAACACCCTGGTATGTAGTAGACCAAGACTGGGGTCCTGGTAAACATTGTGTTATTTTAAATTTTTTAAAAGAGTTTTATGTGTATGAGTGTTCTGTCTGCATGTATGTAAGTGCACCATGTGCATGCAGTGCCCAGGGAGACCAGAAGAGGGCGTCGGATCCCCTAGAACCGGAGTTACAGGTGGTTGTGAGCCACCATGTGGGTGCTAGGAACTGAACTGTGGTGCTCTTACCTGCTGAGCATCCCTCCAGCTTCCATACTTTATGTGGCACAGATGGTCCTTCTACAACACAGAATGGTAGAGTGGTCTCGTCCCTCATGCCATTTATGCTGAGCTGGGGAACTGAGCTAAGAGGAGGCAACGGGTCATTCGGCACTTACTCCACATGGGCTGTTCTCACGCTTTCAGCCTCCATCTCCCAAGGGCTGGGATTGCTGACATATGCCACCATGCCTCGTTCATGTGGTACTGGTGATTGAACCCAAGGCTTTGTGTATGCTAGGCAAGCACTCTACACTGAGCCACATCCCCAGGCCCTGGGAAGCCACTTTCTCTGCCTGCAGTGACACCACAATGACCCCAACATCACGGGAGTGGTCATTTTATAAAATTTGTGTGCCACAGAATGCTGGGCTTGGAATATATGTTTGTTTGTTTGTTTCCCCTTGTAAAAGCTTAAACTCTAGTGAGCAAAAGTGGCACACAGGTGTGGTTATACCAGACTTCAGGGCTGCAGAGATAGCTCGGTGGCTATGGACATATCCTGCTCTTGCAAAGGACTCACGTTTGGTTCCCAGCACCCACATCAGGTGGCTTATAACCACCTATAACTCCAGCTCCAGGGGATTCAGTGCCTCCTTCTGGCCTGCACAGGCACCCACACATGACATGCATTCTCATATTGAACAGTAAAAGAAAACTAGAGAGCTGTGGAACCAGGGAGGTAGCTTGGTTGGTGGAGTGCTTGGTTAGCATGCACAAAGCCTTGGGTTTGAGCCCCAGCTCCGAATAAAAAGTCAGGCTTCTGTATTTGAGGCAGGAGGAACAGAAGTTCAAGGTCACTGGCCACCTAGTGAGTTCCAGGCCCACCTGGGCTGCATGAGACCCTGTCTCAGAAACAAACATAAGTGACATAAAAGTGACTGAGACTGGGGCATGTGTGTGCCAAGTTAGGATGGACAAGTCTGGGAAACCTCTCCAAGGGGGAGTAGTTGCATAAAGTCCTCATGGATGGGGGACCAGGGGACTGGAGAGAGGACTCAGCAGTTACAGTTACATGTGCTGCTTTTGCAAAAGACAGGAGTTACATTCTCAGTGCTTGTGTTGGGTGGTCCACAACCACCTGTTTAAGTCCAGCTCCAGATGATCTGACTCCCTCTTCTGGCGTTCACAGACACACCTGTACACAGACTCACAGACACATAAAAATAAAATCTTTTTTTATTGTTTTTTGGTCTTTTTGAGACAAGGTCTCCCTGTAGCCACAGCTGGCCTGGAACTCTGCTATGTAGACCAGGCTGTCCTTGAACTCACAGAGATCTGCTGCCTTTACCTCCCAAGAGCTTGGATCAAAAGAATGTGCCACCATGCCCAGCAAAAATAAAATCTTTTTTTTTTTTTTTTTTTTTTTTAAAGATGAGAAGCCATCTGAGCAAATGTGAAAAGTGTTGTGTGTGTGGTGGGGGTGGGGGGGGTGTGTTGCCAGAAAAGGAAACGTCAGGTGCAAAGGCAAGGCCCAGAGGTGGGAAGTAGACAAGAGCCTGAGGGATAAAAGGAACCCAGTGTGACTGGAATGTAGAGACCAGGAGAGAGTGGAGGACATCAGAGGGAATGCCAGCTGTTGAGTTTGTGTTCAACATGGAGTGGACAGACAGTAAACCAACTTGTGTTTATAGTGACGATAAAGGCGACCTAGTTAGCATGGTATGGAGGGTCTTGCCGTGTGTTAGCAAGCCCACTTCTGGCTTCCATGGGCACTGCACACACAGTGCACTTACATGCAGGCAAAACATGCATACTCATAAAATTTAATGGAAAGTATTTAAAAATCCCTCTTTTAAAATACTTCAAAACTCTGGCCTTTGACCCACCCCTGGGGTAACCTTGGGTATGGCTGTACCTCCTCTCCAGAGCTTTCTGGTACACAGTAAGCTAGAAAACACAGGAAGATGCTATGCCACGGATCTGCCAGGTGAGAGGGGCCCACTGGTGCAGTGGGGTACAGCAGTTTCAGAGGCAACCAACCATCGGCTGACTGACCTTGGGGGTGCTGAGAACCAAACCTGGGGCCTCTACAAGAGCACTCAGTGCGCTTAACTACTGAGCTTACTGTAAGCAGCATTCCTTCTCCCGTGGCCCGACCTCCCTGTGGTTATAGAGGTAGGCAGGCCCCCACTTTACCGAGCAGGAAGCCGAGGCCCTGGGCAGTGGTGTTTATTTAGGGAGATACAGCCGAGAGGTGGGCATTGGGACTGTTCCCAATGCATGCGGCTTCAGGCGAGTTCTCTACCCACGAGGAGGCGGTGGTCCCTGGGAATGCTGAGCGGACCTTCCCCTCACTGACTGTCCCCCCCACAGGTGCTACTGACTGGGACCTAGGTGGCCCCATGGAGCCCCCGGTGCCCCAGCCCGTGAAGCAGGAGAGCCTGGCCCTGGAGGCCCTAACGTTGGACTCGCCTTGGCACCGCTTCCGCCACTTCCACCTGGGTGATGCCGCGGGGCCCCGCGAGGCGCTGGGGCTGCTGCGCGCGCTGTGCAGGGACTGGTTGCAGCCCGAGGTGCACACGAAGGAGCAGATGCTGGAGCTGCTGGTGCTGGAGCAGTTTCTGAGCGCCCTCCCCGCAGACACCCAGGCCTGGGTGTGCAGCCGCAGGCCCCAGAGCGGCGAGGAGGCTGTGGCGCTGCTGGAGGAGCTCTGGGTGAGCAGAAAGGGGTGGCGGGCATGACCTGGGAGGGGGTCCACCAGAATGGGCTGCTCCCATGTGGGGATGGGGGTGGACCACAACATAAGCACCCTGAAAACGAGGGTGTAGCCCGTGGCTGGGTAGGGGATGCCTCCCTGCCTGAGCAGGGCTGACTGCACAGGAGCCGTCACCCCAGCGTCATTTATGCACCAGGATCCCCAGTTCCTCCCTCTGGTGGTGTTGGCTGGGAGGCCTGGCTGAAGGCTGCCTTCTTAGGGTTCCCATTAATGAAGGGAAAGGTCCTGGGCTAAAGGAATCCACGTGTTGCAGCACACGGGTGGGCCCTGGAAGGTTCCAGGTCGTCTGACAGCTGTCCTCTACCAAAAGAGTGGAGGACAGGACTAACTGGTCTGAGTAGTGGGGAGCTACAAGCCAGGAGCACTAAGCTTAGTGTGGTAGTGCACACACACCTGTAATCCTAGCACCCAGGAGGCTGGGGCAGGAGGATGACTGAGTTGAAGGCCAACCTTTCTCAAAACAAGACAAAAAAGCCTGGAGTGTTGCCAGTGGGGAAGAGCCCCAGGCCTTGCTGTGCATGGGTTTTTCTAGGGCTCAAACCAGAGATGTGGTGAATTGCCCATGTGGGCAGCCCCTCATAGCTTGGCTGATACAGCCCAGCACCCCCACCCCTGATCCACTGGCCCAGGGCCCAGGCAGAGACCCTCTGCTCAGGTGTGACATTTCAAAGGTCATAGATGACTTTCCAGGGCCCAGGACCACAGCCAGCCCTCCTTCTTGGGCAATTAAGAATTTTGGGGGATTACATTTTTCTTTCTGTGGTGGGGTCAAGTACTTTCCATCTTTAGTGTGTGGAGGTCAGAGGTCAGAGGACCACTTTCCAGAGTTGTTTTTCTCCTCCACCTTATTGGTCCTGGGACTAGAACTCAGGTCTTCAGGCTTGGCAACAAGAACCTTTACCTGCTGAGCCCTCTTGCTGGCCCACCCTCTCTGTTTCTTTTAGCTAAGGATGGTAAAAGTAGTTGCTTTTAATGTATATATCTAGCAGCTAGTAGGATTTTTTTTTTTTTTTTTTTTTTTGGCCTTTTTGAGACAGGGTCTCCCTATAGCCCCAGCTGGAACTCACTGTGTAGACCAGGCTGGCCTCAAACTCAGAGAAATCCATGTGTCTCTGCCTCCCAAGTGCTGGGGTTAAAGGCATGTGCTACAATGTCCGGCTACGATTTTTTTAAGTCCCCTCAAAGATATATGTGGTGATGCACACCTGTAATCCCAGCACTTGGGGATTAAGGTTGGAGGATTGAGTTTGAGGCTAGCCTGGATTACAGAGTAAGACCCTGTCTCAGAACCAACAACAACAATCCCTTTTATTTGGTGGGTGGCGGGTCATCATGATCCAGAGAGTCTTCAAGGCTGGAAGTCATTGGACTTCATGGTTCTCAGGACTCTGCTCAGCAACTCAGGCCTTGGGGTACAGTGTGAGGAAACGCCTTCATCTAGGCTAACCTTGCATGTATACTAACACTTGACTCGCCATCAATAAAATATTACAGAAAAGACAATATTAAAGAAAGTTGGGGACCAGGAGGCTCCCTTTTTCATAGAACAAAGAACACTTGAGTCTCCAACTTCCAAGTTTGATCCCAGGGATGCTAAGCAGGTATTCAGAACAAAGGTAGGCGGATCAAAGGACATTTCTCTGCAGGAGCTTGGGAAACAATAAGCACAGTGGCCTGTTTGCAAGGTACTGAGCAATGTGTGAAGAGCAAATTGCACAACTGTGTAAATAAGGCATAGTTTTGTTTTGTTTTTCTTTCTGGTCTTTTTGAGACCCAGTCTTCCTGGAACCCCATCTGGCCTGGAACTGGCTAGGTAGACAAGACTGATCTTGATTTCACAGAGATCTGCCTGCCTCTGCCTCCCTGAGTGCTGGGGTTAAAGTCATGCACCACCAGGCCCAACAAGGCTGTTTTTAAAAAATCTAATCTAAACATCAGGGTCACTGCACTTCAGAAGAGCCTGCATCTGCGTGCATGCCTGTCTGGCTCTGCATCATAGACACTCTTGGCTGGCTACTGGCGGCTTTGCACTTGTAGTCAAGCATGCTTTTTGCACAGTTCAAACATGGGCAGTGGTGTCCAACATTTTGACTCACAGTTTGAGAGTACAGTCCATCATGGCAGGGAAGTCATGGTGTTGGGAACATGAGGAAATTGGTCACATCGGGACTCCATTCAGGACATGGGGAACAGTGAAGGCTGCTGCTTGGCCCACTTTCTTTTTATTCAGTCCGGGTCCCAGCCCCTGGAATGGTGTACCACAGTCAGGGTGGGTCTTCCTACCCCAGTTAACCTGATCTAGATAATCCCTTGAAACCATGCGCAGAGACTCCTTCCCTAGGTGATGTGAGATCCTGCTAAGTTGACAATCAGTATAAACCATCACAGGTGTAGCTTTTTAAAAAAAGATCTATGTTAGCCAGGCATGGTGGCGTGGCTTTAATCCCAGCATTTGGGAGACAGAGGCAGATGGATCTCTGTGTGTTCAAGGCCAGCCTGGTCTACATAGTGAGTTCCAGGCCAGCTGGGGCTGCAGGGAGACCCTGTCTCAAAAAAACAACAAAAAAAAAATCTGTTACTTTATGTGTATGAATGTTTTGCCTGCATGTATCTGTGTCCCATGTGTGTACAGTGCCCACAGAGGTCAGAAGAGGACATCAGATCCCTCTGGAATTGAAGTTGCAGATGGTTGTGAGCTGCCATGTGCGTGCTGGGAACTGAACCTGGGTCCTGTGCAGAAGCAGCCAGTGCTCTTAACCATTGAACCATCTTTCCAATCTCATGTGTTACTTCTTGATGGCATGTCTGGTCCAAGCTATGCTGTAGATTCAGCCCCTCTGTCTCTTCACCGATATGTCCCTGGTTTAGACTAGCCCCCGAGACTAGTGGGTGCTGAGAAAATGCTGGTTTTAGAGGTAACAGAGAACCCTGTTCCACTTTGAAGTTTGACACTGGAAGACCAGGATGTGTTCTGTTTGGTCACTTCTCTTGAGACAGAATCTGATCTTCCCAGAGAGACTGAATAACTTGTCCACAGTCACCCTTTGGTCTCAGCACACAGAGACCATGGGAGCAAGATGTCTGGCCAGTCCAAAAAACCCAAGGAAAGGCTGGTTGGGCTGGAAACTAGAGAGAGGTAGCCCCAGCCAGCGCCTTTGGTTAATATCACAGGAAATGCCAAGACCAGTTTGTCTCAGGTCAGAATTAAGGGAAATCCTAGAGCCCCAGAGGCAGCTAGGAGTGTGGGAAATCACCACAAGGTAACTTATAAATATATTAAAGAGGAGAAATTAGTAAGAAAAAAACAATCTGGGCTGGGCATGTTGATGGATAAAGCCACAAACTCATCCTTTAAAAGCATAGGAGAGTAGTGCAAACCTTAGCATCAGGATGCCTAGGAACACACACAGATGGGGGGGGGGGGGGGGGGGGGAGAGAGAGAGAGAGAGAGAGAGAGAGAGAGAGAGAGAGAGAGAGAGAACGAGCACAGACAGGCACCTGAGAGCTGCTGAGGTTTGAGCAACTTGTACCAATGCTTGGAAATTGGAGGGAAAATTCAAAGTGCCAGATAAGCTCATGAAGAACCAACAAATTTTCAGCCTGAAAACCAGGATGGTGGAGGTGGGGGGGTGGGGGGTAGAGAGTGAGTGACCAAAATGGTGATCAAAGATTGTCCACCAAAGAAGGCACCAGGTCCTGATAGTTTTATGTGTAAATGCTGCCTTACCTCCGTGCACAGAGCCATGCTTATATTTTATAAACTGCTTAAGAGTACAGAGTCATGTGTGGCACCAGCTCATTTGGCCAGGATGCCAACCCCCCCCAACCTAGTCATCCAAGGACCGCCCAAGAAGGCAAGCTGAGGCCTCACTCAAGGAAAATAGATGCAAGAATTCCAAGTAGAGTACTGGCTACTTGAGTCCGGAGAGGGATCAATAGACTAATGCATTACAGCCAAGTGGGGTTTACCTAGATACACAAGAATATTCCATTGAGGTAGAGCCAGATTTGGGTGGGGTTCAGTGAGGGCCAACACTATCTTAGAAGCAAGCAGAGCCGAGTGTGGTGGTACACATCTTTAATCCCAGCATTTGGGAGGCAGAGGCAGGTGGAGCTGGTCTGTATAGCAAGTTCCAGGCCAGCCAGGGATACACAAGATAGTCAGTATCTCTCTCTCTCTCTCTCTCTCTCTCTCTCTCTCTCTCTCTCTCACACACACACACACACACACACACACAGAGGGACCACTCCCACAGCCTGCAAAGCCAAAAGTGAGCTGAGTGAGCAAATTCTTTCATGGTCCCCCAGTATCAGGAGATGACCACACAGGCTGTTGGTCCTGCCCCCCCTTCCAGGCAGATCAGGCCCCTGCAAAATGCACACTGTGCTTCTGGGAAGGCTGGGAATGTTTCCCCCTGAGATCACAGCAGGCAGGGCCACTCACCCCAGTGTTTGCCCTGTGACCCAGGCAGTCCTCCAGCCGGTCATCCAAATGCATTCGAAACAAAACATGAGAAAGGGAGTTCACTGTGTGAAACTTCTGCCCCAGCTCTGTCACAGCACCAGAGTTCAGAGCATCATTTGTCAGGGGCACAGGCCTAGGGATGGTGATGACTGTGTAAGAAACAAGTCTGCAGCTTTTTCTTTAACCTTTGGTCTCATTGGCAGCTCAGCAGCTGTCCACCATATGTGGCAGCTAAAGTTTTTTAACTTTGTGTTTTTCTGAGTTAAAGATTGCTTAAAGTTTGCAGTTTATCCAAATGACAGCAACAAAAAGTTCAAGTAAGATTTAAGGCAGGTGTATGAGTTACCTGTTCCTTTATAACAAATGGCCATAATCTTAGGGATTTAAAACAGTAAACACCATCTCACGAGGTTGCCCTGGGTCACAGGGTGGAGTGGCTTAGGCAGGTGCACCTGTCTCAGGGTCTCTTTAAGAGTCCTACTTAATGGTGTTGTCCAGGAAACTTCTTTGCACTGTGACTGACAGACCTCCGTTCTTTCCTCTCTGTAGGGTAGCTTGAGAAGGTCTCCAGCATGACAGCCAGCTTCTTACAGAACATGTATGGGGGGTCGGGCACAGCGAGATGGTTCAGTGGGTAAAGTGTTTTCCGCCAAGTCTGACAGCCTGAGTTCAGTTCATGTTCTGGTCTGCCTTCAATTGCTGTGACAAAAACACTCTGAGTAATACCAACTTGGGGAGGAAAGGGTTTATTCAGCTTATATCTCCCAGGTCACAGATCATCAGAGAGCCCAAGGTAGGAACTCAGGGCAGGAACCTGGAGGCAGGAGCTGAAGCACAGGCCATGGAGGAACGCTGCTTACTGGCTTGCTCCCTTGGCCGGTGTTCAACCTGCTTTCTTCTTCTTTTCTTTATTTTCTTTCTTTTTTTTTTTGAGATAGGATCTCCTTGTAGCCCCAGCTGGCCTAGAATACACTATGTAGTCCAGGCTGGCCTTGAACTCAAAGAGTTCCACCTGCCTCTGCCTCCCGAGTGCTGGGATCAAAGGTGTGCGCCACCACACCCGGCCTTCAACCTGCTTTCCTATATAATACAGGACCACCTGCCCGGGGTGGCACCACTCAGAATGGGCTGGGCCCTTCCATATCAGTCAACAGTCAAGAAAATGCCCCACAGACATGGCCACAGGCCAGTCCAATGGAGGCAATTCCCCAATTGAGACCCCCTCTACCCAGGGTCTCCCTGTAGCCCCAGCTGACCTGGAACTTTCTATGTAGACCAGGCTGGCCTTGATCTCACAGAGATCCTCCTACCTCTGCCTCCTGAGTGCTGGAATTAAAGGCAGGTGCTACCACACTCAGTGATTTTTTTTTTTAAGTTATATGTTTGTATATGTGCACCCAAGTACATGTTCCAGAGACCAGAAGCCTGCCAGATCCCCAGGAGCTGATGTTATGGGCTGTTGTGAATCCCCTGATAAGGGTGTTGGGAATTGAACTCTGGTCCTCTGGAAATGTAGTATGTGCTCTTAACTGCTGAGCCACCTTTCTAGCCAGAGTAAATCTTTTTTAAAAAGCATACGGTAGGTGTAAGGTGTGGAGGGAGGGAGATAAACACAGGCTGTTGCTCCGGTTTCTCAAGGTGGCATGTGGTATCTCATTTCAGGGCCCAGCAACCTCCCCAGATCGGTCCTCAGCAATGAGAGCGTCTCAGGATATGACAGAAGGCTCCGGGGTCAGTGTTGGAAAGGAAGAAAGTGGGATGATTCCCCTAGGTGAGCACCCCTACCCCACATTTTTCAGGATGTCCCCCAGCATCAGGGGTCCCTTGGCTCCCAGGCTAAGACTGGGGATTGACTTCCTGCCATCATTTACTTAGTGAATGTCCCTGGCACCAGGTCTAGAGATGGCTCACTTGCCCCTGCCCTTGGGGAGCCCGTGGAGAGTATGGTCAGACTTAGGTATGTCATTCTCTGTAGAAACCCTTCAAGAGATGTGGCCTTTGGAGATTGGGTCTCTCTGTATAACCTAGGCTGACAAGGTCTTCTTCCTCAGCCTCCTGAGTGCTGGGGTTATAGACCTGCCACCATGCACAATGACAGATGACATATTAGTGCATTTATGCCCAGGGCTCTAAAAGGACTCACCCAAGAGCAGGTGCTGCCAAGCCAGGTTTGGACCCCGGCAGCCTGTCCCAGAGCCTCTTCACCCCACCTTTTAGCCAGGACCCCAGTTTCATGAGCCTCAGGTTGGCCCCAGTGGAGTCACATGCTTTTCTCCTGCCCATGTACTGTGGCTAGTGTGGCTCTGTGCTGTGTGCCTGGCCTTGTAGCTGGACGTGGAGTTGGTTCCGTCATGTTGGGGGCAGGGGGTGGGGTGGGACGGGGCACCTGTGAACCTCTATAAGACAGTGGGGCAGAAACCAGATGTCCATCAAAGGCAGGAAGACAGGTCTGCAGAGGGTGTGTGGGACCAGCGAGCAGGAGACCAGCAGCTCTTGCAGGCAGAAGAGCATACCAAGTTCAGCATGTGAAACTATCAAAACCAAGATTACATAGATTGCATAGATTCAAGCCTAGACAGGGAGCCTGCGGCTCATCTGTACTCAGCTTACCTCCCCCACCCTGCCAGCCCGTTTGTTTGACTCTTTCAGACCCCATACACCTTCTGTGTGCCTTCCTGCTGTCCATCCTCACCACTGGTTTGCCCATCCCTCCATCCGTCCATCTCCTGATCTTCCTAAACCATTAGCCAGCCCCACAGCACCCAGCCTCCTGCTCCCTTCCATGTGTTGTTTAGCTAGTTACTCTCTTCCTGACCCAGCCACCCACTGAAGCACTCCCACCTCTGGAACCAAAACTTCTGGGCCAGCAGAGCACAAAGTTGCAGGTACAGGAAGCAAAAAATTTCCTAGTGGGTCACTAGGAGTGATAGTGAGTGGAACCATTCTGGCTTCCACCCCTTGATTCCTGGACCGGTGAATCCTGGCTGTAGGAGAAACAGTAACATATATTGGACGCTGATTTAAAGCATATACAGCCTTCTGAGGGACCCTGCCCCAGTCCTCCAGGCTATTGCCACCTAATTGGCACTGTAACTGTGTCTGTAAAAGGCCATTGAGCTGTTCTATCAGGCCAGCTGCTTCAGGATGGGGAACATGGGATGGGGAACATGGTAATAAGACCAGTGAATTCCACCACCATGGGCCCACTGTCACACTTCTGTGGCTGTGAAGTGAGTTTCCTGGTCTGAAGCCATGCTTTGTGGAATGCCATGCAGGGTGGATAAGGCATTCTGTAAGTCCCTGGATGGTAGTTTTGGCAGAAGCATTACTATAGGAAAGGCCAATCCGTATCCAGAGTGTCACCTGCCACCAGGTTGCCTGCTGATCACCCTGGCATGCCCTATGGGGCTGCTCAAAGTTGCACTCTGCAGCAGCTGTAGCCAAGTCAGCCTTTTGATAAGGCATTCTGTAAGTCCCTGGATGGTAGTTTTGGCAGAAGCATTACTATAGGAAAGGCCAATCCGTATCCAGAGTGTCACCTGCCACCAGGTTGCCTGCTGATCACCCTGGCATGCCCTATGGGGCTGCTCAAAGTTGCACTCTGCAGCAGCTGTAGCCAAGTCAGCCTTTTCCATGCTGTCCAGCCTACATCTCAGAGGGAGTGTCAGGCCCCTTCCTAAGTGGGACACCTGCCATCCCGGTTGCTTGCAGGGCTCCTGTCCGTGCTGTTGCCAGCCCAGCTGCTACCCTGACCCCGTGCCTTTCCTGCAGGACCAGGGGCCTCCGGGGCGGAGGTGCCCACGACGGGGGACACAGGGGCCGTGCGCCCCTACAAGCAGGAGCCAGGCAGCCCCCCGCCTGCCCCGCTGGCTCCGGTCCTCCCCGCCTTCCTGACGACCCCTGGCACCGTGTCGTGCCCGGAGTGTGGCAAGACGCCCCTGAAGCCGGCGCACCTCCTGCGCCACCGGCAGAGCCACACCGGCGAGAAGCCGTACGCGTGTCCCGAGTGTGGCAAGGCATTCCGGCGCAAGGAGCACTTGCGGCGCCACCGCGTCCTCCCCGCCTTCCTGACGACCCCTGGCACCGTGTCGTGCCCGGAGTGTGGCAAGACGCCCCTGAAGCCGGCGCCCCTCCTGCGCCACCGGCAGAGCCACACCGGCGAGAAGCCGCACGCGTGTCCCGAGTGTGGCAAGGCATTCCGGCGCAAGGAGCACCTGCGGCGCCACCGCGGCACGCCCCCTGGCAGCCCCGGGCCCGCGCTGCGCCCGCTGCCGGCCCGCGAGAAGCCGCACGCCTGCTGCGAGTGCGGCAAGACCTTCTACTGGCGCGAGCACCTGGTGCGCCACCGCAAGACGCACTCGGGCGCGCGGCCCTTCGCCTGCTGGGAGTGCGGCAAGGGTTTCGGGCGCCGCGAGCACGTACTGCGCCACCAGCGCATTCACGGCAGGGCGGCCGCGGCGCAGGGGACCCCGGCTCCGGGCCCCGAGGGTGGTGGCGCCTTCCCACCCTGGGCCCTGGGGTAGCCACCCCCGACTCCCTGCCGCTGCAGGGCGACACTCCTCCAAAGCCCTCCCCCAGCATCACCGCCTCCACTGTCCCCTCCCCAAATTCCCTTTCCACCCTCCCCCCAGTTCCTCTCTCTTAGCTTTCACTCTCCCCTGCAAGAGATGCCTCCTTTCTGTCCTCCATCCCCATCACCCTTTCTTGGAGAGGGGGTACTGCCCCAGGACACCTTCACGTGGGTAAAGGAGCTCAGGGAAGGAGCAGAGCCCCTCCCCCTCGAGGGCCGCAGTCTGGGTCTTGGACCCCAGGACAGAGTGGGGAGGGGGACCCGGACGAGGGAGGAGGTGATGAAGTCTAAGAAGCAGGTGCAGGTTCTGGTCTGGTTCTCCCTTCGCAGCCCGGAGGATGGAGATGAGCAGAGGCCCAGGAAGCTGTCTGAGGAGCAGGTCACCAGCATCTGAGCGTAATAAAGCGGCTAACTCAGTGTGTGCGGGAGTCTGAGATTTCCTGTGTCGGGGATGAGCTTCTGCGGCGCCGGGGAGGGGTCTGTCCGGGCCCACCATGGGTTCACCCTGCGGAGGCCGGATTAGACTTGTGGAAGGCTCAGCACCACACCCACTTGGGTTCAGACTGCCCTAGGCTGGCGCAGGTCGTGCCCCTTGGGTCAGGTCCCATTTCTATGTATAATAGTATTGGTCATAGTGCCCACCACCTTAGGTGACTCCAGGTCATTGATGAACCTCCCAGATAACCAGTGCCAGCAGGTCTGGAGGTGGCGCCATTTTGCAAAGAAGACGCCTTCATTCTGGCCTGAAGAAGGCGAGGGATGGGGCTGTTTTCTGCCAGTTTGGCTCTGCTTGTCCTTAGGTCTGCACAGATAGTCCTGGCAGTCCCATCTGACTGCTCCAGGAAGTAAACACACCACAGGGGTTGGGGAAGCTATGGCCCAAGATGACCATGAATTTCTCATCCTCCTGTCTTCCCCTCCTGAGTGTTGGGATCACAGAGTGCCCCATGACAACCTGGCTCCCCTGTAGGGAGCCCAAGAAACAAATCAACACCAAGTTGTACTCACATGGGGATCTGCCCAGAAGTAGCCAAAAGCAAGGGACATCTATATTTTTGTTTTCGTGTATGAGTGTATTGCCTGCATACACGTTAAGTGCACTCGTGTCATGAAATAGCAGGGGAGGTCACAGGTGTCTGATCCCCTGGACCTGGAGTTTCGGACGGTTGTGAGCCACTATGTGGGTGCTGGGAACCGAACCTGGGTCCTCTGCAAGAGCAGCCCGTGCTCTTAACTGCTGGGCCATCTCTCTAACCCCTTTAATTAAAAATTTTTTTTTCTGTTTATGAGTGTTTTGTCTGCCTATATGCAAGTGCACCACATGCATGTAATGCCTGCAGAGGCCAAAAGAGGGCGTTGGATCCTCCCCAGAACGAGTCCTGGACAGTTGTTAGCTGCTATGTGGCTGCTGGAAACTGAACCCAGGTCCTCTGGAAGAGCAGCCAGTGCTCTAAACCACAGAGACAGCTCTCCAACCCCTTTTAATTATATGTAGTGGCGGGGGGGTATGTGTATGTGAGTGCAGTGCCCACGGAGACCAGAGGAAGGTTGTGAGCCAAAGGACCCTGGAAAAGCAGTATGTGTTCTTAACCACTGAGTCATCTCTCCAAGTCCTTTCTCCCCCATTGGGCATCCATATTTTTTTTTAGGAAAAGAACGATAAATGTGAATAAGTGACAGAACAGGGGCATCTGGGCTGGAGCAAGAATTTGAGTAGGACTTGGAGTGGGCTGTCTCCGCAAGGGTGTTTGCCGCCATCTGGTGGTAAGGACTTTCTCACCGTCCCAAGAACGTTTATCTTCCTCAGCAGTTTTTAGGACTTGTAGTCCTTACGGCTGGAAATGAACAAAGCAGCCAGCATACGGACTGTCCATCAGGCCGTCAGTGGACGCGAGCATGCTGTGCTCCACCGGGCCCTAGGACAACTGCGGTCCTGCTGCATCTGCCCACCTGCAGCAGGTGGCAGGCAATAAGATCTACCTGGAGCACCCCAACACTCACAGTCTCTCCGTTTTACCAGACAAAGTTGCAGTGTAGAGGTGACCGCTAGTCTCAGAAGGGCAGGTGGGCTCAGCAAGTATAGGCGCTTGCTTCTAAGCCAGCCGACCCAAGTTCAATCCCTGGAATCCACATGGTGGAAGGAGAGACCAACTCCTGCAAGTTGTCCTCTGACTTCCACACACATAGGTACACTCATGCAGCCATAAATAAAAGTAAAAACGAGGTGGGGAGCTGGAGAGATGACTCAGCAGATAAGGGGGGGCTGGAGAGATGACTCAGCAGATAAGGGGGAGCTGGAGAGATGGCTCAGTGGTTAAGAGAACTGACTGCTCTTGCAGAGGACCCGGGTTCGATTCCCAGCACTCACATGGCGGCTACGAACCATCCTTAACTCCAATTCCAGGAAAATCTGAATCCCTCTTCTGACCTCGGCATTGCATGACACGGGTGCACTCACGTACATGCAGGCAATACACTCATACACATAAAATAAAAATAATAAAGAAAATATTAAAAAAAAAACACTGTTCTTGAAGAGGACCTGGGTTCGTTTCCCAGCACCCATATGGCAGCTGACAACCATCTGTAACTCCAGTTCCAGAGGATTCATCGCCTTCTTCTGATCTCCGCGGGAATTGCACGACATGGGTGCACATAAAATAAAAATGAAAGTATGTCTTTTTAAATAAAATATTTTTAAAAAAATGTGAAGGGCCAGGTGTGGTAGGTCACGCCTTTAATCCCAGCACTCTGGAGGCAGAGGCAGAAGGAGCTCTCAGATCAAGGCCAGCCTGGTTTACATAGAGATTTCCAGACCAGCTGTGGCTGTTTTTTTTTTTTTTTTTTTCCTAAAAAAAAAAAAAAACCCAAAAACAAAAAAAGACTCAAAGGAAGGTTGGGTGGTCTCCTCTGGCACTTTGGACAAAGTTGCCGAGTTCCAGTGCCTACGGTAACACAGGCCCCTAGTGCAAAGAGCCTGTTTGCAAAAATTTCAACCACGAAGTGCTATAGAGTGCATGTGTGGTCCAGTGTCCCGACTGGGACAGCATCCTTCATGGCGGCACGTTCATTTGGTACCTAGAGGTGGATCTTGCTGAGCCCACTGTGCATGAGGCAGTGGGAGGGGTAAGTCTCAGTGGTAACAACAGCAGACACGTGGTGACAACCATGTGCTGGCCTGAGGAGATGGCCCAATGGGTAAGCATGCTTGCTTTGCAAGCATGAGGCCCTGAGTTCAAATTCTCAGCAGCCATATAAAAAAAAAAACCCATATAAAAATCCAAGCATGGCAGTGAGTGCCTGTACCTTCAGTTCTGAGGGACTGAGATGGGTGGATCCCCGGAGGTCCTGGCAACCAGCTTAAACAATGAGCTTCTGGTTCCGGTTCCATGAGAGACCCTCTCAAGGGAAAAAGCAGAGAGCTATAGAGGATGCACAATGTACTCCTAGGCCTCCGCATGTGTATGCACAGGCATGTACTCCTGCACAGTCGTGTGTGCATCACACACACAACACATGCACGAAAAAATGATAAAACTCTGCCTGTTGGTGCAGGCCTGTAATTCAGCACTTGAGAAGCTAAATTGCTGCAGAAAAATTCTTCGAATAGCTAAGTGATCAAGTATTCATCCAGGAGGGAATTGGAAACCTCAGTTATTCTCTTCACGTGCGTATGGTCCCAGAACTATCAACCAAGGCTTTAAGGACATATAAGGACTTTTTATGTCATTTAATGGTTACCCTTTGTACCCCATGGCTCTTTACTTTGATGTGCCATGTGTCAAGAAAATTCCTTCCTGAGTTCACCCGGTCATCATAGTTTGCAAAGTAGATATCCCAGGTGTGGGTGAGGACATCTACTGACTTTTGATCTATAGCTAGGCCAGGCTAATTGGGCTAGGAATTGGTCAAATATAGTCATTGCAGTTTAAAATTTTATGTGTATGAATGCATTACCTTTATGTGTGTAAGTGCACTTGTGTCATGCGATGGTTGAGGAAGTCAGGAGAGGGAGTCAGATCCCCTGGAACTGGATTTATGTATGGTGGTTAGGCACCATGTGAGTTCTGGGACTCAAACCTGGGTCTTCTGCCTGAACAACCAGTGCTCACCCTGGGGCCTGTTCTCTTGCAGTACTGGATCTGCCTGAGTTTGGCTCCCTCTCCTGGTAACAGGGAAGCACAATAGCCACCATACCCTGATTTCTTACATGGATTCTGTGGATGAGTGCAGGTCCTTGCAAGGCAAGTCCTTACCCACTAAACTGTCTCCACAGCATCCCCCCCATCTTTATCTCTTTGTCTCTGTCTCTCCCTCACCACATTCCTCAACTCTCCAGTATCTTCTGTCTCTCCATTGTCCTACTGCTTCTCTATGTCTCCTCTTCCCCCACCTCTTCTCTCATGCCCTCTTCTCCTGTCCCCTTATTCCCTTTCTCCCCTTCTCTCCCACCATATCTCTCTCACCATCTCTATGATGGGTCCACACCTCTCTCAAAGCTCATTCACTGGAGCTGAAGGGTGCAGCTCAGTGGTAAAGCCCCTGCTTAGAATCCCCCAGTGAGGGGCTGGGGTGTGGCTCAGTGGTAGAACTCCTGCCTAGAATCCCCCAGTGAGGGGCTGGGGTGTGACTCAGGGCAGAGGCCCTGCCTAGAATCCCCCAGTGAGGGGCTAAGGTGTGACTCAGGGTAGAGCTCCTGCCTAGCATGCTCAAAGAGAGACAGAAAGGCTAACGCTGAGACTGAGGTCTCTTCTTCTCCCTGCTCTCCCTCCCTCCTGTGGTCTCTAGGCAACTGCTTCCTCCTGCTGACCTCCTGTCCCCTGTCCTGAGGACATCGCTTCTCCCTTCTCTTTCCCAGAAAAGCCATTTACATCTTCTTGTCACTTTCTCCTCTGCAGTGGGTTCCCCTCCCCTTCTTCCTTTTCCTCCCCCAGGTCTGAGACCATGAAGGACTCCGGCTCCGCTGTCCTCCTCTTTCTCTCTTACTCCTCCTGGCCTCTTCCTTTTGCGAGAGATGGTGGCGCCTGCCTTTAACCCCAGCAGAGGCAAAGGCAAGAGGATCTCTGTGAGATGTAGGCCAGTCTGGTATACACAGGAAGTTTCAGACCAGTTTGGGAAGGAGCATGTGGTGGACTTGAGGGGTGGAGTCTGATGTGAAGATGGAAGACAGAAAGATCATAAAGGAAGACCCAGATCTGACCAGGCACAGGAAAGAACAGACCTTGAGGGGAGACAGTGCAGAAGAGGAGACAGAATTCTTGGTGAATCAGGGCTTTCCCCCAATTCCTCAGGGAGGAAGGGAAGATGCCAGACGTTCCCTCTCTAGGGTGGGAGGTGGAGGGTTGCGGGGAGGAGTTCTTTCTCTGGAAAATGACTGCTGTCTGGGGCAAAGGGAGAGAAACGAAGAGACGGATAATAAACAACGGAG